CCACAATGTTTCGTATATATTCCAATCCTCTAACAAGCCAGGCAACTCGTTTGTTTAAAACCTATGATATTTATATTGCCAGTAACTGTTTGGAAAAATAAGGTCCAATAACATATGATCCAATAATGTCTCCCTAAATATTCAACTACCTGTTCTGGGACCTAACTCGAAATAAGTAAAGATTTTCAAAGGAGGAATAATGATAATTATGTGTGTTAACGAACCTATTGCGATGAAATCTCGATTGGTCAGAACATAAAATATTTTCCAAAAAATTTACGTTTTGTCCAACATTTTTATTCCGCCCACATTTCTTTAAAAATCGAAGGCTTTTCATATTTCGAATTTCAATTTCGAATTTCAAATTTCAATGAATATATTCGATTCACCAAATATATTCATATTTAAAATATAAAAATTTGTTGTTCATATTTAAAATATATAAATATGCAACTACAACAGTAGTTAATATGTATAAGTAGGTAGATATTATTTATTTTAATAATTATTTTGACAGGTACTTTTTTTTTCAAAGCATATTTTCTACATTCTCAGAATGTCGGTACTGAAAAATATTAAAAATTTATTTAACTGATCTTTTTTAAAAATACAATCTAACTTGGGATAATAATTTAGTAAATCAAAGCGATTATATATAAATTCATATATTTGCTCAAAATTACTAAGGTAGATTTTAAAATTGGTTTTTTATTTATTTAATAATTAATTTATGGATATTAACACTTTCGCACCTGAATACATACTGGTAGATCGAGTTTTCCGTAACTACCACTTTACTGGCTCACAGCTCTACTAATGCTTTATACATAATGCAGTATAGGTAAAAATTTATGGTCGGTATGGACTTTACGTGAGATGGAGTGAGAAACACCTGTTTAAAAAGACCGAGTTATATAAGGTCCGCCCTTTATATATTATATATATAATCGGTTTAAAACGTCCTCCGACGTCTTCCGATGCCCAATCTCCATGCATCTCTATCTTCCCAAAGATCTTCGTCTAAACCTCTCTCTCGGATCTCTCTGTCTATTCCTTCTCTCCAGCTCTTTCTGGGTCGGCCTCTTTTTCTCTTTCCATGTGGTGACCAATCTATAATCTGTTTGGGCAGACGATGTTCTGGCATTCTTTGCACATGTCCATGCCACTTTAGTTGTTGTACTCTTATATCTTCGACAATCGTATGTGTGACTCCCATAACCTCTCGTATACGTTCGTTATTAATTCTTTCGAGTTTTGATTTTCCTGCGGCCCGTCTCCAGTAGTCCATTTCCGTGGCTTGTAGTGTTCTTTCAGTAGTTGCCTTTAACTGCCACACGTCACTTCCATACATTACTATGCTCTTTATAATAGTGTTGTATATTCGATGTTTATTTTTTTTGGATATATGTTGATCCCAGATAATACTATTTAGTTGAGATATGGCCCTTCTACCCTGAGTGTTTCGTTTTTTTATAGCGTGATCTGATTTGCCGTCGTCTGTGATTTCTACTCCTAAATAGGAATATTTATTGTTGTACTTAATGTGTTGTCCGTCGTTTAAAACTAGATTTTGTTCTTTACCACCGATGTTCATGTACATTGTTTTATCTATGTTGACTTCTAATCCCCATTTTTTGTATTCTTCGATTAATTTTCGGGTCATGTATTCTAGATCGTCATATTCGTTAGCAATCACAATTTGATCATCAGCAAAATATAGAGTGTACAGGTTGTTATTGTTTAATTGTATACTCATGCCGCTGCATTTCCGCTTCCAGAGTTTTAATGCTTGTTCCAGATATATTTTGAAAAGTGTCGGCGCTAAGCAGCATCCCTGCTTCAGTCCTTTGTCTACTACAAAACCTTTGGAAACATTCGTTCCTATTTTAACTTTGGTGTTGGCGTTCTCATATAGTTTTTCCACTGCTGTTATGAGATTTGAGTTGATGTTCGTTTGTCTGAGAGTGTTCCATAACTTATTTTGAGGGATGCTATCGTAGGCCTTTTTTAGATCAACAAACAAAAAGTGGACTTCTTGATCTACAGCAACCTTTTTTTCTATAAGTTGGGTGATACAAAAAAGGTGGTCTATGGTCGATCTACCAGCTCTAAAACCCGCCTGTTCTTCTGCCTCCATATCAGTGTATTCTATTTCTATTCTTTTATATTGCCGCCCTTTATATTGCCGAAAATGAATAAGTTGAAATAATAAAAAAGGGAAAATTCAACGTTGCCAAACTTATTGGTTTTATTTGACCTGTTGTCTTTTTAGCATTTGAACAATATTCTAAGATAATCAATTTTCGGCGAAATGGATTTAAATGGCAGCTTACTGTTTATTATTGGGAATATGCCACTTTTTGCTTTACAATAAGTGTAATATAACATTTTGATTTCCACTTCGGAAATCGTTTTATATAAATAAAATTTATTCATGTTTCGTTAAAAATCTAGAGGTAACGAGTAGACATGGATCGTTGACGTTTTTATCATAAACCCATTTTCGTAAACAAGTTATTATGCTTGTTTAACAGTAGTTTCAAGTAAGAGAATACCTACATAAACAAACCTAATGGCTATTATAGTTTATGTGTATATTTATTAAAGTAAAAGAAACTAATGAAGGATATATTTATTATTAACTTTTATTTAAAATTAAACCAGATTTTAAACATGTGTTCACATTTACAATATTTTATGAATATAGTGGTTAAGTTAGGATATACATGGCGATGGTTTTTCCACCATTGTAATGGACTCTCGATACAGGTGTACGTTTAGATGAGTCATGTCCAATTAATTGGTCAAAAATATACCATGGACTTCTAAGTCATCTTTGTTGGTTTCTTTTTCTTGTACTTGTTGATTTTCAAAAGTACAATCTTCTTGTTTTTTAATTATAAAAGTAACCAGCTTCTTAACTTTTTCTTTTGTTTTTTTAGCTTCATTTTTATCAGAATATCACTGTACTTTAAATCGTGAATCCATAAATGTACATAATAACAAAGTACCACTCTGTTCTATCCCTCTAAATCTTTTGTTAAACCCGATATTAGTAATTGTACTACGTCGGATACTATATATGTAAGGTTACCGTTTGCTAAAACTTTATTGCAAGATTCTTGCAGACAGCGTACCATAACAATCACTGAACTAACCTGCAAGTATTTTTGGACACTCATTGTACTTGTTATTTCTTTAAAAGGCCGTAAAATTTGGGAAAGTTGAAAACAAATAATCCAATCTTCATTATTTAGATTTGGTCTAAGTCTAAGTCTGTATTAACTAATACCAATGTGTAACGGATTGCCTCTTCTAACTCGGTCATTCTTTTTAACATGTAATAGGTGAAGTTCTACCTAGTTTTCTCATCTCGGATTGGACGTTTGGAAACTTTGTTATGTTGTAACTGGTACTTTAAAAGCCTTTCTGAAGATAAGGTACTTTTTTTGAAATGTGTTTTTTGCCGAATTGTCAAATGACAGCAGCCTAATAAAACCGTTTTAAATTATAAATTTTGTTAAAAAAGAAGTTGAAGAAAGGAGATGCTGTATGGAAACGTAAAAGACCCGCATTAGCTACTAAATGGAAAGATAAGCGTGATGTGAGAATGATCAGCACAAAGCATAAGCATGACTGAGGTTGTTTGTAAACGAGGTGCTACGAAAATTAAACCCGATTGTGTGCTTGACTAAAATAGACACATGTCTGGGATATATCGAGCAGACCAGATGTTGTCATATTACTCGGTACCAAGAAAAACACTTCAGTGATATAGAAAATTGTTTTTTCATCTATTAGACATATGCATTTGGAACAGCTTTTACATCTACAAGAGAACATCGAATAAGAAAACTTGTTTTTTGCAATTTCGTGAGAGCATAGTAGTGGACGGTATCAACAACAACAAGGCTATTCAGATACAAACAATTGCAAACAATATGCATTACCCAGAATAAGTTCCGGTCACGGAAAAAAATAAAAGTAGTATGTTATGGTGTATATTGCACTAAGCAAAATGCCCGAAAAAGGTCGTGTTATTATTGTCCCAGGTTGTGATGATTTCTAAAAATTGAAATAATAATATACAGGGTGTTCCATTAAAAAAAAGAGAATATTTTGTATTTGAAAATAGTGATCACACTGTATATTGGATCGCTGGATGTCAAAGATATTAAATTATTTAAAAATAACACTACACTAGAAAATCTTTGACATGTCATTTACATTTTTATTACCTTGGAAAACTATTACACAGCCCCATAAATATTATGATTTTTCTCAATAAAAATTTAAAAATTTCAAAAATTAATAACTTTATACCTATAAAACCTAACACAAACTCTTTATTAAATATATATATATATATATATATATATATATATATATAATATATATATATATATATATATATATATATTCTTAGAAAGGGCTTTAGTGACTATGTGAGTAATATATTCGGATATCTTGGGTTTAGTAGTCAATATTGGCCTTTAAGTAAATTAAAATTAAAGCCTTTACTTAAAGGCCAATATTGACTACTAAACCCAAGATATCCGAATATATATATATATATATATATATATATATTGGATTTGAAGTTTCCGCGGAAGCTATATGTGATTTCAGTTGTTTTCCGGGTTTGACTCCGCGTTAAGTAATTTTGGTTTTTAGAAAAACCATTGTTTTTGTAGAGCCAAACCCGGAAAACAACTGAAATCATATATATATATATATATATATATATATATATATATATAATATATATATATTAAAAAATTGTTTAATATATAGGATATTTCATTAAAAAAACTCAACTTTGGTTCATTCTGTTCTTCTGACTGATCATGTTTAATCAAAAATAATTTTTAATTATAGACGTCTTTGATGTACATCAATTTTGTTAGAAACATTTTTATTATAGTCCATAGTTTAACAGTAGTCTAAAAAGCCAGAGGTTTGGTGCACTCTGTATAATGTAAAATAATATAATGTAATACCTGCAAACATTTTGGACAACAGTAAACTTCTTTATTCCTAAAGTTTTCAATAATCTCGTCTGACAGTTCGTTTACATGGGCGCTGTATTGCCTCCATGCAATAACTTTTTTCTCTGTTCCTTTCACAAACTTTTCCCATTCTGATTTTAGCAGAACTTTGCTTTTTCCATTAGCGTCTTTCACGTCACCTCTAACAATGCTGGCATAACTTCTAACATTTCCAATTATTTCATGCATCCATTTCGTCCATGTATGAGCGTTGTGTATAACTTCTAATAACCATACAGCCCAAATCTTTAGCGAGAGACAACAAATAGCATCTAGGCAATGTTCTCTAATAACGGTGGGTTTATGTCCATAAATATATTCACCCTATAAGTAAATAATATGTAAAATAATTATTTGTTTATAAAACTAATTATTTATTAAGTTAATTAATATGTTTCTTTAAATCCACATATTTCTAAAATAATGTTAACGATGCAACAGTTAGTCTAATCCTGCAACTCATACAAATAAAGACAAATATTTTTACGTAAATAAAGTTTGTAACACATTTTTTATTCCAGAGAATAATATAACTAAAAAGAAAACACACGGCACTTTTACAAAAGCTTATCAATCGAAACAATTTGTTTGGCTAAACATATGTTTTTCATCACTTTGGATTATAAAACATTATTTAGACTATCTACTCAGTTGAAATTTTTGGCTGCACTAATCCTGATACTTTCAGATTGGTCTTTAACCTTTTTTATACGTTGAATTCTATGGTTCGTTATATAATGTATTCAGAAAATATAAGCAAAAGTTTCACTATTTTTTTTACCAATGTACATATCTCCTACTGGCACGATACATTACCAATGCACTTCAATTGTCAGGACAAACAATGTAGCAGGGTACGATTGTACACTGTATTTTAATTACATTGGTGGCGTGTTGACACCAAATACATCCATCATTGACGATACAGCCCTTCGTGAGCCCTGACCTGCCTCAAAACATTCTTTCATCCTTCCCTGTTGAGTGTCTGTCTTCTCCATTCTCTTACTCCAACCTCGCTTAAACCGCCCTGCACATTGACTAGATACCTGAGTTTAGATCACTCCCTTCTTCTTCATCAGTTTCATCCATCCGAATAACGTGGCCCATCCATCTTAGGTGGTTTATTCTGATAGTTTTTCCGATATTTGCATCACCAAAAAGTCTATGAAGTTCTAAATTATATCGCCTTCTCCACAGCCCTGTTTGTTAACTTTGCCATATATGGTCTTTAATACTGTTCTTTCAAACATTCGTAGTGTCTCTTTATCTCGGGACTTCACTGCTTATGTTTCCGATCCAAGATGAAAATACTGAATACAATTTGATGAAAAAAGAATCATTCCCGTTTGGATCTTCTGATAAAAACTATTCAGCATGAACACAATTACTTACATGTAAGTGTTACATATTTAATGACTTATGCGTTTTTCGGTTTTTTAATGTTCGAGTTTAAATCAACGGAATGAGTTTTATCTGATTCCTAATCTTTTCTTTTATTTTTAATATATGCTCCCTACATGAGTCTTGCAACAAGAGTGATGCCCATATATTTTCCAGCATTGCCTTGTGTAGGGGAGGGTAGTACACAATATGACAGAAAACTCATTTTTGTTTCTGACATTGACATTTTTGAATTTGTCTACAAACTGAGTTAACCAGGCATCAATATGATCATTAAATATTCCCTCATGAGTAAAGAAACAAAATCTATGATTATTTTTCTAACCTTCTACATCTGTTTTATTGTGTACCATTGGTGGTACACAATAATTCAAGTGGTATTATTTCAATAATTTGTTAAAGTAAATACATAGAGTGTACTTTTTATTATTAAAAATAGCAATAAAAAAAACTGAAATGAAAGAAAGTTTTACGGATCTTAATACCTACTGTCAAACTTTACATCAAATTTTTGAAATAAGATACATTTTTTTACTAAAAAAATATGACGATAATACCGTCATTTGTTTTTGTTTATTTATTTCATTTGGAGTACCAGAAATCGAATTCACTACGAATATAGGCCATGATGAACGGCATTTGGAGTGCAATTTTTAGACTCCCTTGCCGATGCATTCATCAAGCTGTTTGCTTCGCCAGTCTTAGGGGGCACGGCGGCTTATGTTTGAATCCGATTTCGCCAGGTAGAAATCGTATGATTTCTCTTTTTGTTACTTTTTGTTTATCTACATTTTTTGTATTTGGTAGAATTGATACAACGTCTGACCTTGCTACTACAGCAATGTCTCCAACTAAAGGGAAAATAAAGCAGCTTTGAAGCTTACCACTTTTTCTTAAAAATTACACTTTAAATTCATTATCGTCTAATGTCTTGACAACTTTAGCAATATAAAATATATTGTTTTTAAATTTCACTAAAATAAAACTATCAATGGAAACTTCTGTACTAGCATCAATGCCATTATCGTCTTTCAACTGTAAATCTTCACATTCGTCGCCAGAAGAATCATCGTCATTGATTAGTTCTTTACTCTCCTCGGATGAAGTGCTATCACTTCGTTTATTTTTTTCTGCTTTGGTGCTGAGTCGCTTACTTTATTTAAATTGACCTTAATTGGTTTATTATTCTGAGGAGTCATTTTTTAGGTTGTTGGTTGCAGTTTTAACTGATCCAAATCAGGTGTGTCAGTGAAAATTGCACTCTTTTTAGTTTTTTTTACTGTCACACCTTTTCTCTTTTCTGCTCTTGGAAATCCTTTAAACTCATAATGAGGGGAGATGAAAGAACCTGTATTCGCAGATGATACTATTGACTTGGAGTTTTGAGATATTATCGGTTTTTCAGGTGTCCTTAGTGACGATATTTTTTGATTTTCAGGTGTTTGACTTTCCAACTTGATTGGAAAGCACACTAGACATTTCTGTCGACTTTGGTGGTGGATGTGGCTGTTCAGTTTCATTTGGTCTATCAGTCACAGAACTGCCAATTGAAGTAAGCCTCAGAAAAAAGTCTCTATTAAGAGGAAAAATTCCCGTTTTATTAAAACCTGGCAGAATATTAGTAGGTGTTAATGCTTTCATATGTGCCTCTCCTATACATTGTGCTATCTGGTATATTGAAATAGGTATACCAGGATGATTTAGCAACCATGAGTCTATAGCGGCATTGTAATACGCTTTAAAGGGAGAGAATATTGAAACATCAAGGGGTTGCAGTTTTTTATTACAATGTGGAGGCAGAGTCAGTATGATTACACCATTATCCTTTGCCAATTGAACAACTTGATATGTTACGTGACTCTACTGATTGTCTTAGATTAGTATGGGTTTTCAACTGAACTGTTGCTAAACTTACTGAAATGTTTCAGAAGGTCGACAAGCAGCTCGCTATTCATCCATCTACTTGGATTTCCCAAACCCAGTGTGCTAGGTGGAGCTCCTTGTGTCATATGCTCCTTATTATATTTGCATACTAACAACGGCATATAAATTCACGAAGAACTTGTTGACATTGTGTAGATTAAATAATGTTAACCTTGATAAACTTCAACCCTCTGGTTGACGTATACTATTGTTTCAACGCCTATTTAAAAATGAACGGAACCATTGGAGTCCAGCTATTTTATCTTTGATCCAATTCGCTGGAACTGGAATATTGTTTTTAATTGCCATATCATATGCTCCCTTTCGTTTATTACGTATTATGTACGCTGTATTATCGTACAGCATCATTGGGTTCCATTCGATGATCATCAGGATTAGTACGTTTTTTCGCGACATACCTTTGTAATGTCTGAAATTTTACTCCATGTTTAATGTCAGCAATTCTTAATGATTTTCCGTTCAAAACATCTTGTACGGCACTTGCCATATCATAGGAGCTAAATGTCGCTCGACTCCTTGGTTTTTCTTTGCGAACCGTGTCTGTATCAAACATAATAAACTTTTATTTTACTTATACAACTTTATTAATTATAGCATAAACACTTAGAAAATTAAAAGGTAGAAATTTTAGTTGTACAAAATGGGACAGTCTCATTGTGTACTATCACCAGGTATCTCCTTGTGTACCAAGTAGCATTGTTGTACTTGCACTTGCAAATTGACACAAATCTACAATTAGTTCTAATTATTAGTCAACAAAACTATATAAAAAGTAACTTCTTACCTCAATTAAACAGTTTATCAATGTAACTTTTACGAGATCACGAATAAAATGGTGGTATTTTGATTGGCGCTGTAAAATGACATTTCTGAGATAATGTTGGTTGCAGAATTGAAACTTGGCGGTAAATTAAAAAAAAATTAGAATGTCTTATTGTGAACCATGTCTCATTGTGGAGTACTCTCCCCTACTAAAAGCAAGTGGCGCAAAACAGAAAACACTGGATTGATTTGGGGGAGGCCCATGTTTAAAGTTGGATTACTTAAGGCTGAAGAAGAAGAAGAAGAAGAAGAAGACCTTATGACCCCTAGACCTTTATTATTCTGACTGGAATATATTGTCTTATTTTATTATTGAAATCATTATAAATCAATTTAGTTTCGTTCAGCTTGATTATGAATCTTTTGAAATTGTTGATCTGTTAACAGAAGTTCCAACAGATTATATCGTGTATACGTTTAAGATTTTTTCCTCTTCTTCCTCTTAATAAGAAATTCCACTTCTACTATTGGATACTTCTATGGAAGATTGTGGCTCTACCTTTTGCGCGGTCGTCCGATACTTTTTCTACCGATTGGTATTTTATCTCTTGCTATTTTGACAACGTGGGTCTCCCCCATTCTGCTTATGTAATTATTCCATTCTTTTTTTGTATTTAGTGTGTTTTAAGTCTTTTCAGGTCTCTCATCTCTGCCGTTTTCAGTAGTCCTTGTATTGGGCTGTGTCGGGTCTTGTTTCTGATGTATATATCATTATTGGTCTTACAACGGCTTTGTAAATTCTTAACTTCATCTAATTATTAATTTGTCGGTGTTATTAAAGTCTCCGGTCAGTTTATTTACTTTTTGTACTTGATCTCTCACTTATTTGTTCAGGTATTCATAGCTGGATAGTGTAATTCCAAGGTATTTTATTTATATTACGTTTAAATACTGTTGCCTTCGATTTCTATTTTATATCTGATTGGTTTTTTGATGACTACTATTGTTTTAGTTTTCTGAGTTGAGATTGTCATAATAAATTTTTTTGCTCTTATGTTAAATCTGCGGACTAGTCTTTGCAAATTTTCTTTGCTTGGGCTATAAATATTGCGTTGTCTGCGTAACAGAGTATTTTTACTTCTTTGTATCCCATTCTGTAATTTGTATCCTCTTCCTTTCCTTTCCAATAGATCCACCTGTCTTATTCTGCTGCTTATGTCTACAGGTTCTGTAAGTTGTCCACCTATTCTGACTTTTTATCTATTTAAGATCCATAAGTTCTTGTAAAATTTTAGTTGAGAGTTTTAGGTTAATATTTAACCCGTTTATAGCTCTGTAGTTTCCTGACTGTTTTTTATATCCTTTTTTGAATAGTAGAATTTATTCGCTAGCTCTCCATTTTGTTAATTAATGTTAATTGTTTATGATTTAATTAATTATTAGTTAATTTTAATGCAGTTGGATTAAATGAAATACCAGTAGAACTGTTAAAACTAGTGGAAGAGGATAACTTGGAAGTATTGGCAGATTTATTCAACACGGTGTACGATACGGGAATAATATCACAAGAGTGGCTGAAGTCAGCATTTATAACCATCCCTAACAAACAAACAGCAAAAGAGTGCTCTGATTATCAAAAACTGAGCCTCATGAGTCATACTTTAAAAGTTCTGCTAAAAATAATACATAAGAGAATATACGAAAGACTAGAGAAGGATATTAGCGAAACGCAGTTCGGGTACTCGAGGAGAAATATTTGCCATCAACATATTGATTCAGCGATGTCGGGATGTAAATGTCGATCTACACTTGTGCTTCGTTGACTACGAAAAAGCTTTCGATAAAGTAAGACATGAAAAACTAATATCAATACTTATGAACAAGCGCATTGACAGTAAAATCATAAATATAGTGCAAACAATATATTGGAATCACAGTGCTATAGTTCAAATTGATGGGCAACACTCAGAAGAAATGAGGATCTGTAGAGGAGTTAGACAGGGATGTGTTTTATCACCACTTTTGTTTTACTTATATTCTGAAGAAATTTTCCAAAACACGCTCAATAATATCGAAGCGGGAGTCACCGTTAACGGAAAATTAATTAACAACTTAAGATATGCAGACGACACTGTGATCATAGCAACGAGTATAGAGGATCTACAACATATCGAAAACTTAAGTAGGAATAGTGCTGAGATGGGAATTACTATAAACATTAAAAAAACGAAGTACATGCTGATTACAAAAAGACCACACAATATACATCACCTATTGACAATCAATGGTACCGTGATAGAACAAGTAGCAAAATATCAGTATTTGGGAACTTTGATCAATGAAACCAATGATCATACTGTAGAAATAAACAGGCGAATAGAGATTGCCAGATCAGAATTTATACGAATGAAGCCACTCCTAACGTGCAAAAATCTAAATTTGAAGATCAAAACTACGTACCATTCGCTGTTATATATTTTCAATAATATTATATGGAGCTGAGACTTAGACATTAAAAAAATGTAATTTAAAAAGAAACCTTCGAACTCTGGTTATACCGCAGAGTATTGAAAATATTATAGACTGATAGAATTATAAATAAAGAAGTACTGGAGAGGGTTGGTAAAGAAACAGAACTAATCACCACTTTACAAACCAGAAAACTGGAATACCTAGGCCACCTGATGAGGGGACCAAAATATGAAATTTTGAGACTGGTAATACAGGGAAAGATTCAAGGAAGAAGATCTGCTGGCCGAAGGCAAAACTCATCGTTGAAGAATCTACGTGATTAGTATCAATGCAGATCGATTGATTTGTTTAGAGCAACAAGTTCAAAGATAAAAATAGCCATTATGATTGCCAACCTCCGTAGGGAGACGGCACTCTAAGAAGAAGTTTATGATTTCAACTGAGATAATTGTAATTATATCAGCGAATATGGCAATAGTAACTTGGTTTAGTTTAAGGGTATGCCTTTTATATAAAATTTACAGAACTGTTCCAAGGACACTTCCTCATGAGCTTGATTCTAATGCATCTGCCTGATATGTATAATTCTAGGGGTAAAAAGTACCATTCTGTTAGGTTTAAACAAATTTTAATCTTTAGTTAATTTTTTTAAGGAAATAGTTGGTTTAAGATTTGGAGATAATTGTTGGATATTATAGGTCTTTTTCTATAGCTTTAACAAATTTTTTAGGATTTTTCAATAAGCCTGAGAAGTCAGTAGTACTTTATGGTTGTAATCGGAAGCTTGCTTAATTTGTTCCTTTATTTGTTAGTCGTGGTGGGTTTTCTTTCTATATGATAGACTCAGTGAGGATAAGAATAGGAAATGATTCTTATGCATGTCTCATTTCGCGTGCATATAGTTAGATTCAATGCCGTTTACAATGTAGAAGTAGGTATCTTGTTTGGGTCCGTTGACAAATAAGTGGGTGGATCTGCGAATGCAACATCGCATTTTAATCATTTTGTTTCTTTCAGGAGTTCTTTACTTTCATTTTTAGTTAATCTGGAACTCCAATTGACATGTTTCGTATTAAAGCCGTACTCTTAAATAAATATTGGGCCTTGATACATTCAATTAATAGTTTTTAAGTTTCAATTCAAGTTTAATAGTTTTCCTCTTTTAGTGCACGTCATAGAGCAACAAATGCTAACTATATACTCAGTTATGACTACATTAGCAACTGTGGCCTAAAACGCTGCTATGTAATATCCCATGTCTTGATACTGTTTAATAATTTCCTTATAGGGTATTTTTTTGTATTAAAAAATGTAAAAACATAATTTTAAAGGCTGTTTTTTGAGTATTTCTTATTCACCATTATGTCTTTGCTTATTAACCAATCTAAGAGCTATTTCTTTTTGTAGTTACCTTAAGGTAATGCTTTCTTTAATATCGGATGGTAACTGGCATTGCCATAACTACGACAAAATTGATTCGAAGGAAACGTATCTCTCGATCAAAATAATCTTCGAGAATATTAGAAGTAATTTCTTTATGTTAGTCTTTCGTAGAGTTTGAAGCAACCTCTAAAAACCTTAAAAAATATCCCAAAAAATAATAATGATCAAACGACAACCTTTACCAGTTAGTTTTAATCCAGTAAATCAACTCAGTAAACTCCTGACTGACTAGCATTTTACTAAAGATGTAACTTGCTTATATGGCCAAACTTTTCTTACAAAATTCGGTTTATTTACTCATGATTCATCACCTAAATTGTGCAAAATAATTTATTAATTAACAAAATCGATTTACCATTTTCTTGTCTTTGTCATCTATAAGCTGCGTGTCTATTGTAATCTGGGTTTCTCCTTCAGATATTTCCATTTGTTCAAAACCTGTAAATTAATTTAATATTCGATTTACTATGGGAAAAATAATATACCAATGTTCATATGTGTAAAACCGTCAGTTTTCACCGTACACATTAAAAATTTCAATTATTTACAAGCTGGATGATAATGTTATTTATAAACTGACGTTTATAGATTAACTGATATTGGAAGTGAAAAAAACCTGCAAAAAACTTCAATCTTGGTTTTTAGGTGATTACATTGTTTTGAAAACATCATTATTATTACCCCGTCTTTATCACATCACCTGTGTCAAAAATTTTACACAGGAAGAATCTACCAGTCACTTCCTTTAATTGAAAATTTTCTTTTAATATTCTATTACACTTATACAATTCTGTAAAAAATATGCATTTAATCGAAACTTTATGGAACCTTATATGGAACTTTAAATCTTAATGTTTAATTATAGTTAAGTAAAATGTTACTCATTACAACATCGGGAAGAAGAGGAAATAATTTGGAATCAGACCACTTTAGTTACCTCAAAAACTAATTATATTTCGCTAGTTGTTCTTTCATATATTATAATATATTAATACATTACATAATAACAATCTGTGTTATTTTAAAACCAAAAAACAACGTCCGAAAAACTGGAGCGACTATAGAATGATAAGCCTTATGAGCCACACTTTGAAAATATTTCTACGCATCATTCACAGTAGAATCAGAGATAAATGTGAAGAAGACCAGGATGAAACACAATTTGGCTTCAGAAATGGACTGGGAACTCGGGACGCCCTCTTTGCACTAAATGTATTACTGCAGAAATGTCGAGATCAAAGGAAAGATGTCTTTGCTGTATTTATTGACTATGAAAAGGCCTTTGATCGAGTACATCACAAGTTAATTACAATATTAAAAGATAAAGGAGTTGATAGTCAAGAAATACGATTCATAAAAAAGGTATACTGGCGTCAAACAGCGACAGCTTGCGTAAACAGAAAATCAACAGAAATATGTAAAATACAAAGAGGTGTCAGACAGGGTTGTATACTATCCCCACTGTTATTTAATATTCAGATAGAATATTTAAAGAAGCGCTGCATAATTTGGAATGGGGCGTAAAAGTTAATGGAATTCTGATAAATACAATCAGATATGCAGACGATACAGTTATTTTAAGTGATGACATGAATGGACTACAATGCCTTTTAAATGCCATTTATACAGTGGGAAGAGAGTTTGGCCTAAACATAAACTGTTCAAAAACAAAACACATGGTGTTTAGCCGTTTAGCACATCAAGATGCACGATTATATGTTGATGATCATATAATTCAAAGAGTGTCCAGTTTTAATTATCTTGGTTGCCATATTACTGAACAACTAGATCCAGATCAAGAGATAAAATGTTAAATGCTACATTTGGTCAGTCCTCTTATACGGTGTCGGAGAATGGACATTAAAAATATCCACTATTAATCGTCTGGAGGCCTTTGAAATGTGGCTTCACAAACGTATTGGCGACGTGCAAGTACTTGGATGTGATACGAGAAACGATCATGCGCGAGTAGCGGAGAAATCTTCCATTTTTGACTGCAAATTTCATAGATTTCATAAATTCATATTGTCAATTGACATATTTCATATTCGTTTGTTTATTTCACTGAAGAAAATGGGATTTAGGAAATGCTGTGTTACAAACTTTAAAAATGCAACAAAAAATTGTCAATTTAAGTTTTATTCGTTTCCAACTTCGAAGCACAAATTACTACAAAGAGAAAAGTGGATTTATATCTTAAAAAAGCATAAGTAACATAACCTAAATTATGCATTATTCTTGCGCCCGATTTTAAAGTCAGTTTGAAATAAATAATAAATAAAAGTTCACTTTTAAATGTAAATTTTAGTTTCATACTCACTTAGAGTTCATTTTAACCCAAAAATCAAGTTGAATGTTTAAATTTTATTTTTTTGAAGTTTACACAAATGCATGATACATTCGCTGTTCAAAATTTTACAGGGAAAGAATTAATTGTTCAAACCAATATGATGATATCATGGGCTTAACCTGCTAATTTATGCATTAGCATTATTTATGGTAATTTATTTTTCTTAATTCTTTCACATAGTTCTTCCATTCTTTTTTGACATTTGCCACTACTAAAGCTTTTCCATTTGACTCAGTGCTTGGTTGAAAAGTTATTTGGTGATTTACTTTCTCAAATCCAGTTTTTATTATTGCATCCATATTAACAGTAATGCTGTAATTTAATAATATATTTATTTGTATTTACACTACATACAACGTTTACCTTTTAATAACATACCGACATAACCTCAATCTTACTTTTTCTTCTTATTCTTTTTTGGAGCTACGTCCTTGACAGTTATCCGGTAACCTCGATCTAACATGTAAGCGCAGTAAATTTTGCTGATTTACGACACCAGATGTCGCTGTTCCGAACTTGAACGGTCCCAATACTAAAAATTCCATGGACAGCTATGCTGACAAATGTGGCAGTCCTTGAGAGAGCAAATGCTGCTCGCGAGCTGCTTGATAACATCAAATGTAGAAAGATGGCCTATTTTGGACACGTAGTAAGGGGAGACCGATATAATATTCTTCAACTTATTATGAATGGGTAAAATCGAAGGACGCAGAGGAATTGGTAGAAAGCAGGCCTCTTGGTTAAAGAATATGAGGGAGTGGACAGGAATAAGGAACGCTGAGCAACTCTTTAGAATAGCTCGAGACAGAGACAGTTTCGCCATGTTAATCGCCAACGTCAAGGGGACTTGATAGGGCACGTTAAGAAAAAGTTATTTTAAAACAGCAAAGTGTGTCTCACATATCTTTTAAAATTTTTTTTTGTTATTTACCTAAATTGCTAGTATACACCATTATTCAACAGAAAGAAAATAACAATTTGTTTACAATATCAGTATGTTTACTATTTATGTCTAATGCAAGTGTCCCAAACAACCTTTATTTATTACCCACACTACATAATTGTTGTTTTGTTTTTCTACTAAGTTCAGTTTTTCTACCAAGTATTGTACAGTGTACTTTAAATATTAATTGTAAAGTTTGATGTGGTTATTATCTTATTTATCAATCAGCCAATCGCGTCCACTGCTGGACATAGGCCTCCCTCAGTTCTTTCCAGTGTTCTCTACACTGGGCCGCTTGTAGCCAGTTTCCCGCTACACGTTTTATATCATCGGTCCATCTAGTCGGTGGTCGTCCTCGGCTTCTTTTATAGTTTCTGGCCCTCCATTCCATAATACGTCTTGTCCACCGTCCATCTTGTGCTCTGGCTAAGTGTCCTGCCCAGTTCCACTTAAGCGACGTGGTTCTTTCGATGACGTCTTGAACTCCTGATCTTTGCCTAATTTGTTGGTTTGTTATGTGGCATTTGCACGTTCCATGGCTCGTTGTGTAACTCTGAGTTTATTCGCAGATTTTTGCATGAGTGTTAAAGTCTCTGCTCCATAAGTTTGTACAGGTAAAACACATTGGTTATAAACCTTTCGCTTGAGACACATGGGAATTGAACTTTTTATAATATGGCTTAATTTGCCAAATGCTGCCCAAGTTAGTCCTATTCGCCTCTGTATTTCATGTGTTTGATTGTCTCTGCTTATTTTGATTTTGTGTCCCAGATATTTGTAAGTGTCTGTTTGTTGTATGGTATTATTGTCAATAGTTATATTTCCACTCATTACGAGATTTGTTATAAGTTTAGTTTTCTCAAAGTTTATCTTTAATCCTGCTCTTTCAGACAGACTTTTAAGCGAATGCATCATAGAATGCATCATTATCTTATTAAGGGCTACCAATTTTCTTTCTTTCTAAACAATAATGTTAGATTCTTTATCCTCTATTATTGTATAGAGACCTGAAACCCATAAAGTAAATTTTGAATTTCATTCGTACTCCGACTGTTGGCTAGTCAAGTCGTGCTATCATACGCTATACGAAGTGACATCGGTGTTTGTAGGTTATTTGGTTCTCATTATTAGTTATAAGTATATTAAGTTTGTGTTTAAAAGGAAAACTACTGTAAGTAAATTTTGATTTTTTGAATATTTCTGTCCCGGACAGATGTCCGGGGAAAACAGTTCATCCACCAGTGGCAAGGTGCCGCCGAATGGTAATTTTAATAAAGATAATCTAGTCAATGTTCTAGTTGAGGATATCATTGTACATGAAGATATTAATATGAGTTTATGTATAAACAATAAAAATAATAATCAATTAATTGAATTATCTAGTACAGATACACTCGACAAAAACTTGGAATCCGACAAAAACTCGTAGATAAACAACGTTTATTAAATCAATTACCAAATAGATCTAAACCTAACGATTTGAGACCGTTTCATGTTTTTGTTGAACATATAGAATTAAATATTGGGAGATTCCATCCAATGAAATTGGGTGAGAAGTTAATAAATCTAAAAGAGTATGATAAAATATTATTGAAATTAGTACGGTTGGTCGCAAACTTTTAACTAAATTCGGGCAGTATTGCCAATAAGTTAGTTAAAGGTCCATTCTTTGAAAAGAATAATTTACTTGCATATATTCCGGGTCATCTTATAGAAAACGCGGGTTAGTCCGCTCTGTAGATACAACATCCTGTCCGTAATACTTCTTCTAAATCGAACTTTAGGTCAACACATGATCAACCATCTTCTAAACTCTTGCAAAAAAAAAAAGAGAAAAACTAGTGATTCTTCTCCCAATTTCCAACCCATTAGACGAGAATATATGTAGCTTTTGTGCAGGACCGGTCTTCCAGTTTGGAAAAGAGCCGCAAAATGATGTTTCAACACTTAAATATCAATTAATTACCATGTTAACAAGTTTTTTTCACCAATTTTCACAGAATCCATTATCAAATAGTAGTTTAAATTTTAAAGAAATATAGTTTGAACATAAAATTAAAAACATTATTAATAATATATTTAAAACCTAAAAAAAAACTAAAAAAAATCAAAGATATTCTTTAAACAAAATCTTAAGATTATTCA